ATTTGAACAGGACGTGTCTACCAATTGGGAATTTAATTTGACTGGGAAAAACTAATAATTTGATTATCCAGAAGCTCCTTGAAACTAACGACTCGCGGACCAGCAGCCATCAGAAGCATCCATAAGTGTCGACGTGCGCAAATGTACATTTAACTTATACAATGAAGTGAAATAATCATGATTATTTCACTCGCTTGTGTGAAATAATAGTGCGAGCGAAATTTGTAAATAATGTGTTATGTGTCAATTATTGCAGTGGTTGAAAGAAAAATTAATAAGGGAGATGACCCCGAAATATACATTTCGTTTAAAATTTTTGTATAGAGTAATAGCACTTTATGCTTTTTTATGTTTGTTGTTAGTATAGACGAAGTTTTTGAGGCACATTTTAAGGAAAAAAAGTAATTTGTTTTTATGCTGCACACACTTCATAAAATTTTTGTATTAAAAAAAATTTCTTACAATTTCTCCTTATGTCGATAAACTTATTATTTAAATTATTAATTTTACAGACTTTAAAATATTATTCTAAGTTTTGAAATTGATTCAATTTAGTTCTAAGCAAAAAAATAGGCTACTTATCATTTATTCTGATTGTAAGATCTAAACAGTTTTAAACTTTGCTTTTTATATTCTTATTTACTTCTGCTTTCGATTATACACAATCTTTAATAGTTTTTTAGAGATTATTAAGATGGTATCCATCTTGGAAACACTTTTTTTACATTGAAAATTTTGACAATTTGAAAAAATACTTTAAAAAATGTGTGTTCGAAAAAAAATTTTTTTTTAGACTAAAAGATACCCAATATGTTGTACTTTTATTTAGTATATTTCAGTTTACCATATATTATTGGGTTTTTATTTTAGAGCATTTAATCGAAACCATATCTATTATGGGTCCTCTCCCCTAATTAAATAAATTACTAATTAAACAAAATAAAATTGAATAATTAAATGTTTTTATAAAATTAAAAATTATTTTTCATAAACTTGGTATAATTTATTCTTTAAATAATTTGTAATTGAAACAATAAGTAGTATCCATGGAAACGTATTTATCAAACCTCAAATCAAAAACGAAGTTCGTCTCTGTCACTGTTGTCATCTAATTGTCAATATATTTTTTTCCACGATAATTCTTTTGAGAAAGGAACATTATTACCTATTGGAATGAGGGTATAATTTTAATTTCATTTTAATATTTTCTAAAAAAATCTTTCTAAAAAAGTTTTATTTTTTTATGAAAAATGTTTTCTTACAATTTTCCAAAAATTTCAAAAAAAACTTTTACAGTTTAAATATAAACTTAAAGTTTATTGCTTTACAGGCATCACAGTTGGTCCCCTTTTCCCCTTTTGTCCCATTTTGAAAATTTTGTTCCCTTTTTCATCTTTTTTGATGATTTGTCCCCTTTTTCCCTTTTACTGATCAGAAATAAAATTTTTTTAAATATATTTCAATGTATGATAATAAAATTTGTATTCAATTTTTGAATTATCAAAAATTTTAATGGAAAATCTTTAAAGGTAAATTTAAAAATGAAAATTAATGGAAATTAGCTTCTAATTTTTTTAAATTCAATATTTTCAGTATTTTCAATTACATATTTCCAAAAATTCAAATAAATTAAAAAATAATAATATTTTAGAATTATTTTTTACAGTTTGGAAAAAACAATCATGTTCAAAATATTTAATTAAAATTTATCAAAAAAAAATTAATTTGTTTTTTTAAATTGTACAAAAATTCTTTTTAGAAATTAAATTATTTTCGAAAAATTAAATTAAAATATTTTTAAAAACTAATTATTAAAATTGTTTTATAGTAATTTTTTAATATTCAATTATTTTCAAACAATGCAAATAAAAATTTATGAAAATTTACTTTTTAGACTTATTAGAATTTTATAGAAATCATGGTCCTGATTTTAATAAAAATTCTTCAAAAATTTGATGATTTTTATAAATATTTTTCAAAAATTCAATTATTTTTAAAAGATTTTACCAAATTTTAATTGTTTGGAAATTTTCCAAAATTAAAAAACTATTATCTTTTAAAAATTATTTAAAAATGTTTTTAAAAAAATTAATTGTAAGAATTACTTTATAATTTTTTGAAATCATTATATCTTAAGAAAAAATTATGGAGAGTTACAATTATTATAAAAAAATTAAGTTTTTGTATTTAAATAATTGAATTCTAGAAGAACTTTTGGAAAATTATTTAAATTAATTGATTCATAGATGAAGTTTAGTTGAAAATTGTAGAAAATAATTGAATTCAAAAAGGATTATAATTGTAATTTTTATAAATTATTAAAATTCGAATAAATTTTACTTATTTTCCGTAAACATTCATATTTTCCTGTAAAAAGAATTTTGATAGTGAAAGTAATTTTAATGTCAATAAAATTGTCAGGGAAATTGATAAACTGAAACTTGTGACCACCTTGTATATTATATTAAAATTAAATCATTTTAAAAAAATATATACAAGCGATATAAAAAATTTGAATTATATGTGCAAATTGTATAAACAAATAAATTTTTGTAGGTTTTAAATATTTTTTCTTGAGAATTAATATTTGTTTTTTCCGAAAATTTTAGTAATAAAATTTCAAGTTTTTAAATGTTATTAATCATTATTTTTTTAAAGACTGAATTTCTTTGGATTAACTTTCTTAAATGGCTGTAACACTCTGATATAATAGAAAATTGTATTTTCCTATTTTTTATGTGATGTAAATATTTAAAAATTATCTTAATATTAAAGTTATTTTCTGCCAAAGAATCCAGAACTGTAAAAAATTTGTAAGAATTTAACTCATTTTAATTTATTGTTTGGTATATTTTTTGTCCCCTTTTTAAGGAAAAAAATTCCCCTTTTCCCTTTTTTTGAGGATAAAAGGTACTGTGATGCCTGTAGTTTAAGAACAAAATAAATTTAAATTAACTATCAATTTTTAAATAATTATTTTACCGAGTGAATATAAAATTTAAAATAAATAAAATTATTAATAATATAAATTGAGTAAATAGTGTTACGTCAAAACTGAAACCTTTTTAAATATACCTAACATTCCTTGTTTTAAATTAGTTTCAGAAATTGAATCTAATTTGGGATGAGGATAAGTCAATGAGCCTACTAAATGTTGTGAGAGAATATTTATTTAAAACCAACCAAGAAAGAAAAGAATTGACAATAGTACAAAAACACAATGAGTATAAAAATCTTACTTTTGGAATAACGATTATTGCAGGTGTTGAAAACTGGTGATTGTTATCTCGATTTCCGATCTGAAGTGGTTATGAGAAGTAGACACAAAGGAGCCTGTGGTTGGTGTCCTTAATGGTTGTATATTAGCCTTGTTGTTTACACTAATGGGATTTAGTGTATTGTATTCTTGGGGATTTTTCTCTTCTTCCAGACTGTCGCCTCCAAAGCAAATCTCGATGTTTAGAAATTAGAAATACTGTTTCAATATTTGATTTTGAAACGTGAAAACAATTTAGTTCTTCTTGGGTTATCACTTATTGCTCGTAGTTAAACAAGTGAATTTATTAATTGTTGTACCGAACTTGGTCTCATAAATATACTTGGGGATGTAGTTTAGTTAACTTCTAAACTGTATACTGGGATTGCACTTAAGTTGACTTCGATGTGTTATGGTTGATGTTCAGAAAAATACTCTCTACTCTATCGAAGATGCTACCCCTTTTTATATCAAATTTCTAATGCAAGGTGGTTCACGAATATTACACGTGCCGAAAAGCTACACGTGCAGGTAGGTGCAGCGATACCACACCGGACTAATATCAATAGGGTTTTCTTCATTCGCCATGTATTTGGATAGGTCTCACCGGACTTGATTCTGGTATGTGTCGTTTCTCTCTCTTTCGGAGTGCATTCTTCTTTCCTTATGTGTGGTCTAGTTTGCAGCAGGTTGTCAAATTGATGCGTAATCGTTATTCCTTTTACATTATTTGAAACATAACTTCTCTTTCTTGGATTTGTTATAACTTATAAATTTGTTGTAATTACATAAATATAATAAGATATACCATATTAATAGAAAATGTACTAAATATAATGCAATGATATATGACATACACATACATACACATACACATACACATGTAAATATTATAAGAATTATATAAGTATATCAGGAATATTAATAAGAATATACGCAAGTAATTCAAGAATATTAATAAGAATATACATAGGTAAATAAAGAATATAATTAAGAAACTACATAGTTGAATCAAGAATATTAATAAGTTACGGACGTAACACCTCCCCCCTCAGATTGAGCATGGGAGAGAAACGAAACATGCTCAATAAAACTCAATATATTGTAGAGGAAATGTCATGACCGTTTGTGCACACATTCAATTCATTCTTTTCTATTCTTAACAAATAGCATTCAGGAAAAATGAGTTTTTTTTTAATATTTAATTATCGAATTTTTTTTATCATTTTTCATTTGAATCATAATTATCATATACGAAAAAAAATCTTATTTTTACAATTTGTATTGAAGTTGTCAAAATATAAAAGTGAAAATCAATGCCAAAATTGGTTTAATAATTGTCCGATTTCGCTTTTTCTTTTTTTTATTTGATGCGCTTTTTTACGCTGAATCCAAAACTGTTTTCAGAATTTTCCTAACTCTAATATTTCTCTTGGAATCCAAGAAAGAATTTTTTGCAACAACTTTACATAATTCACAGGTATACCTGCATCGAAGTTGTCATCCCTAACTTGTTTGATTTCCTTATCAGCTAAGGTACAACCCACCCATCAGTACTTCGGTTTTCCGAATTTTCAATTGGTTTCTTAAGTTTGGATAGGAAAAAAAAAGAAATGGTAGGGATGTCTAAAAGGACATGCTTCTTTTTTCGTACCCAAAATTCAGTTTCGTGTTGTCTGTTTTGCGTGAATTATCTTCCGCGAGATTTTTTGAAATAAAACAAAATATAGAAATAAAACAAAATATGGCTGTTACAATTTTTGAACAAGAAGTTGATTTAGAACAGGCGTTTCAGGATTTTGAAGAGCTCTTGAATTCTAATCAATTAACTTTACTGAGTGATATGGTCATTGATAGTGAATGTAGTGATCGTGAAGTCGTGCATGGTATAGGAATTAATAGTAACTGTAGTGCTCGCAAAGTTCTGGATGAGGAAATGACAATTGATGAGGAATGTACAATGAAAGAAGTGGTGCTTCCTAAAATTGTGACAAGAAGTGTCTCTAAGCGTTTTTGTGCTGCAAATAATGAAAAATGTACAGTGACAGAAGTGGTGCTTCCTAAACTTCTGAAAAGAGATTTAGAAGAAGACTTTGAGGTTCCTGTCGCTAAACGTTTTTGTGCTGCGGATGACGAGGAATTGGAAATTAATGAAAAATGTACCGTGACAGAAGTTGTGCTTCCTAAACTTCTGAAAAGAGATTTAGAAGAAGACTTTAAGGGTTCCTGTCGCTAAACGTTTTTGTGCTGCGGATGACGAGGAATTGGAAATTAATGAAAAATGTACCGTGACAGAAGTTGTGCTTCCTAAACTTCTGAAAAGAGATTTAGAAGAAGACTTTGAGGTTCCTGTCGCTAAACGTTTTTGTGCTGTGGATGACGAGGAATTGGAAATTAATGAAAAACTGGAATTATCCGTGAAAGTCGGGTCTTCTTATTTTTTATTATTCGACTCGAGGGATGTTCCAAACTTTTTCTCTATCATCGAGAAACTTGCTGAGCCTTTCAAAAATATGGATATTTGGAAGCCTATAGAGGGAAATTTTCCCCCTTTTATAATATCATTCCAATCAAGGAAATTTCGAGGAATGAAGTGGTGGTCCAGTATTCCTAATAATGAAATAATTAGATTAATTATACAACGACAAATGTCTGCACATAGACCAGAAGGCCTTTTTTTCTTGGGAGGAAAATATTTTACTTTTCCTAAATACAATATTCAAATTGTGAGTATTTTTTAACTGTTTTCATTGTAGTATTTCATTGTTGAATAAATTTCTTTTATGTTTAATTGTTAGTAAGAAATACTAATTAATTCATTTAATTTAGGTTGACAAGGAAATGGTCAGTTGGCATGGCAGCAGAAGAATATTTATAGAGATTCCTAAGATTAAATACGGGACCCATCAAATTTCACTACCTTTCGAGTTAGCTTCAAAGAGAAACTGTATTGTTCAAGAGCACAAGTCTTTATTTAGTGCTTTCTACAATACTGATGAGTGCTTCTTTTTCTTTAATCGCAAGATGAAATTTGTGCGAAATTCATTGATTAGAGTAAGTATAAATCATTGTTTTGTATTTTAATTTAATATGTAGATATTTGATTTAAATTATTATTACTCTTGTTTATAGATTGGTGAATATAATGATTGGTATGGTCCAGATTTACAATTATTATCCCATGAAGACACAAAGGTGATATAAAGGGTTTGTAACTTGCTTCTGGAAATTCCTTTTGAATGGCAGGCTACTTTGCATTGTACTATGGAACAAGGAATTGCCTACCTGAAGACACATATGTTAGAATCAAAGGATCCCTTAGGGTCTCCCTTTATAGTTGGTGGTGTGAAGTGGACAATACGGAATAAAAAGGTTGAGCGTGTAAGTGTATATACCTATTTATGTAATGTATTTTATTTGTCCATTCATTTTTTATTAATTATTAATTTTAATTTTCAGTATTTTGGACCCTGACTTAGTACTAAATTAAAATAAAATGTTATTATGATTGTCATCATTATTCTCATTATATTATTATTATTATTATTATTATTATTATTATTATTATTATTATTATTATTATTATTATTATTATTATTATTATTATTATTATTATTATTATTATTATTATTATTATTATTATTATTATTATTATTATTATTATTATTATTATTATTATTATTATTATTATTATTATTATTATTATTATTATTATTATTATTATTATTATTATTATTATTATTATTATTATTATTATTATTATTATTATTATTATTATTATTATTATTATTATTATTATTATTATTATTATTATTATTATTACTACTATTATTAATGTTTATACTTAATAAAGATATCAAGAGAATTTTATAATGACAATAAAAAAAAAATATTTATGATAACATTCCTGTTTCATCCTTTTATACCAGTGTTCCGTCTGTTTTGTTTTCTATTGATTCTGTGCAAATTTCATTTTTTATGTAATTTTTCAGTGAAATATTTGCATTTAGTGATTTATAATTTTTCCTTGTTTTAAAATATAATGTTAAAGTCGTAAATAAATTGATTATTATGAATATAATAAATATTATTAAACAATAATTTTGAATTTTGATTGTCTCTATGTTGGTAATTGTAGTATGATTTTGAAAAATTGAGTTATCTAAGTCGTTTTTAAATATGTTCAAAAAGTCTGGATTTGAAGTTACATTTAATATTTTATTCTGAATGACAATTGGGGCTCTCAATGGTAAGTTTGATTTTTCTTCTAATTCTATTGGTGAAATTTCGTTGTTAATTTTTATTGAACAGCCTTCTGGTAATTTAATTATTCCAGTATCTTTTACAATTTGAGTAAATGATTTTTTGAAACATTGTATATCTAATTGTTTTAATTTTTGTGTAGCATAAATCCATGAATTATGTTGACTGAAAGGGGTTAAAATTGGGAATTTTTTTGAATTCATAAAGTTGCATTTGTAATATGTTGAATTAATTAAAAGGTTAGATTCACAGCATGGATTTATTTCTGCATTTTTAATAAATGGTATAAATTTTTCTTCTATGTTTGAGTGTAAAAAGTATTTTTTATTATTTACTGAAAGGCCAATAAATTGAAAATCTGTTTTTATAAAAATAGAGGATGTTTTATAGAACATTGGGTAGGAATGTATTTTATATACTTTGAAGCTTTCAGTCATTTTTTCTGGCAATGAGTATACAATGAATAAATTTTTGTTTGATCTAAAAGACTTAATTTTTAATGATTTTAAAAGAGTTTTAAAATTAATTTTATAATTTAAAAAATTTAAATTTATTGGTACGGATTGATGCCATTTATTATTTATTGATGCTATTAGGATTTCTTGTATTTTTTGTAGTGTTGTGATGTATTTTTCAATGGAATATAATTGTTTATATATATCGCTTATATTAGGATTATCCAGAATAAAATTTGCTGTGTAAATATATTTTTATCTGCAGTTTTCATTGTAGCATTAGTGTTTGTTTCTTTATTTTCTAAAAACTTAAAAATGCCAGTTTTTTTGTACTGGTTCTGTTGTTTCAATTATAAGTTTCTTTGTGTCATAAATTATTTCTTCAAATTCTTTAATTTTAAGTTCAAATTGATTTCTCGGATTAATACAGAATAATATACAACTTTTTTTTGTAACTTCATGAAATTTTTTAAAGTTATCCAGCTTATTGAATAATAGTTTGAGATTAATGTGATAAATAAATTTTACTTCACCAACTGGGAACTCTATACTTTTCAAAGGTTCATAATATAATCCTGGTAATTGCGTGAATGTGACCTCTTCAGGTATAATTTGGGATATACCTTTTTTTATTCCTATCAAAATGGCAAAAATTAACAAGATCATTTTATTCTTAAACTCCATTCCTGAAACAGAATTAAGCATTATTTTTTATAACTTATGATAAATGTTATTTTTGCGATGTCCGCAAAAATTACATTTTTTAAAACTTTTCTTTTCTTCTTCTTCACAGGTTTTTGATGTGGAAGGAGGATTCGTGTTTGTGAAGGAATTTTTTGTTTCATTTTTTTCGTCATTTTTACAGAACTTGGAAGTGGAAGGGAAATTTGTTTTTTTAAAAGAGTCTTTCTTTTCGTTCACTATTGTCATATTTGTAAAAGACTTTGTTATTATTTCTTCTAAAGAATTATTATAATTATCTATATTGTGTAAAATTGCCAAAGTTGTTAACGCTGATATAGCTTTTGCTGTCATTGGATTATTTGCTATTGCTGATTTTTTTATTTTTCCTACTGTACAAATTACTACCCAATTTGTGGTTTTTTCTGATGTGTTTGCTTTAATAATAGCGAATTTAGGGATACCCATATCATGTCTGTAACAGTAATCATTTAAATTTTGAATAACTCTGATTTTAAATGTCATTGATGCGTTTTTAAAAAGTGAGTCTTCACCTTTGGTTAATTTTTCAACTAATCGAAATGCTGCATTTTCTTTTGATAAATTTAGACTATCACTTGTACTGCAAATTATGTAGTTTTTATATTTTATTTCCGTGACATATTGTGGTTGATAAATCGCGTTAGCTGGTGCTTGAAAATTTGATGTAATGGAGAGACTTTCTTTTGTATTCTCTTTTATTAAGGAGTTTAATATATTCAAAAAGGAAGCTGCCATTTTTTAAAATTTAAAGGTACTTGGATTGTTTTGAATATGATGTAATTGAGGATACAATTGAATTGTTTCTTCTTTGTTTGTATTACCTTCTTTTTCTTTTAGTAGATTATTTTCTTCTGTAGGTGCTGAAGCTTCTTTTTCTTCGTCTTTTTGAATGTTTATTGTTGTTAGATTTGTGGTTGTTGGTGTCGGTGAAGTCTTAGGAGCTGTTCCTAAATGTAATATTACGTTAGTTACTGAATCCCATATGGAGCCTAAAAGATGGAGAGACCATCCAAAAACACTATATAATGCATAACCATGAATAAAGGTGTCAGCGACAAACTTTATTATTTTTGTTGCTATTATTATGCCTATAAATCCTGCGCTCACAGTTCCGAAACTGGTAAATATTACCCAGATTTTATTCCAAGCAGATTCTGCAATTTTATTTATTGTTTCTTCGTCTAATACATTTGAAAATTTAAGTCCTGTGTCATGCATCGTTTGACCCATTATACCTCTTGCAAGTGTGTTCAAAATTATAGGTTTTTCTGCCGGTAACATAATATGATTTCTTAGTTTGTCTAGGTCTTGTTGTGAATATAGTCCACTAGTAGCTAGGTATGGGGGAACATTATATTTCCAAGTTTCTCTTTTATCTGGTTTCATTATTGCTGGTTGTACTACTGTTACCAATTTAGGCAACATTTGGAACCAAGAATTCCCTATCATAAACATTGATGGTAAAAATGTATTACACTCTAAAGGTGTTCCTACTTTAGTCAAAATGTGAGTTATAGGTGTTAAAAAATATGTTTTATTATCTTTTGTAACAGGTAGTTGCATATAACATTCCTTTGTTTCTCTTAAATTGATTTCTACTGGTATACATTTTATCATGTGAATAACTTCTCCTGCTAGAACTGACATGTAACCTTCTTTTTTCATTAGGTGATACGCAAATAAATCAGGTGCTTGAGTGGCAAGAACTAAAGCATTTCGGAATACTTCTTGTTCCAATAAGCATCTTTTTGTTAGCACATCATAGTATAGTTCATACATTTCTTTTCGTAGATGGCGTTCAATGTAAATAAATTTAGTATTCACGTGAGAAAACATATCCATATTTTGTACTAATGGTTTCTTATTTTTTAAAGGTGATCCGCCTGGTCTTGTTTCTAGTATAATTAATTTAGGATGTTCAGTTCTTATATAAACATAACCACAAATCATTTCTCTTGATTGTTCCGCTAACGCAAATGTTATATCCTGACTTACTAATGAGTATAATGTTTCCTTATTTCCTTCATTATTATCAGCTTCAAATGTTTTATTTGCAATACCTTCATAAATTACCTCATATTTTTTCATATGACATACATCTTCTGGTATTGTATTCCAGAAAGTATTCCCATTTTCTCTATCTATACATTTTGATTCTGACAAACTACAAACTGTTCCTGATTGTAAATGAATTTTGTCTGTTTCTAAGTTAACTGTTGCGAAGTATTCTTGTAATGTTATTTCATATGATGCCTGAACTATTACATCTTTCCAGGAACCGTAAACGTCACTATAGGATTCTCCGTCACAATCTCCATCTTGATCTATTGATCCTGCTAGGGTTATACTACGGTAATTAGTGGTGTTTATTTTTAAATCAGCAAATTTTGTATTGATGGAAGGCATAAAAATTCCTGTTAAATGTATTGTATTACATACATCATATGATACTTCATGAATGTATTTTCCTTGTCCATTACTAACGGCTGATGTGTGTGAAAACATACCACAAAGTTCAATATGACGACTTACTTTGATTTTACATTGTATAACTTTAGTTTTTGTAGTTCCGCTTAGTTGTATTAATTGTACGTAGCTTTGTTCGGTTTTTACTGGTCTTTTTTGAATGTCACAGTCTCCTACCTGTTTCAATGATAGTGTTGTTATATTAGGTTCTGTAGATCCACAGTCATATCCTATGAATGCATGAGTTATGTTTATTACAATAAGTAATAAAACTAGTTGAAGCATTCCTTTTATTCC